GAGTATGTATAATGGATTCAACATGTCAGGATGCAGATTTGAGAATACAACATACAATGATCTTCAGTTCAATGTCCATTACTATATTTGCAAAGTTACAAAGTTCTTCTGTTCGTATTTTCACATTCTCACAGAAGAATGCATTATTAGCCTTGTGGGATGAATAAAAAGAGTAAAGAAGATTCATGTACATGTTCTACAATACGTTTAAAAAGGTTTCAAGCAAAAACACAAACAAAAACTTAGTTCTCCCTTAAAGTCTAGGGAAAAAAAGAGGTAATGTCCCTCTCAATAACAGGTCTCAATGGAAAGGTATTCATAATGTTGCAAAGAAACAGCATCTGGCTCATGAAGTCAAGTCATGAGAAGCTGTGAGAACATATGGTGAAGGTAGTACTGTATGGCTGCCCTCTTCTAACGTTCCTCTGTAGGCAGCAGTTACTGGCTACTGCGAGACAATAGCCAGTAACACAATCTTGTGACACACAAGATTACTGCTGGACATGGAGATTTGATTTCATCTGGTGTCGTTATATTTGTGTTCACACGCTAAGAGTTACTAGTGAATAGACCTAACTGAAAAGTAGAATGAATGTCATATCATCAAGTAATAATGCAGAGCCCTACGTTTTAGGTGAAACATTTGTTGGCATCTCATGCTATATTGCAACATCAGAGTACCTACTTTTGTTCATTCTGACGCCTATGAGAGCACTGACTAACCTGGAAGAAAACCAAGAAAGTCAAAACCAGAACCAAGCCCTAGAAAAACAAATTTCTCAAGCTTACCTTTAAAGGTTGACCCTTTTAAGAATCTTACCTAATTTGCACCAAAACTGTTCAAGTTCTCCTCACCTTTCATCAAGATAAGAGGTTTCTTTGCCAAGGAAAAGCAGTCTGAAATGGTAGCCTAGTCCAATGCCACAGGCAGATAGCTTTGCGTTGGAGTGCTTTAATATGTTTTTATATTGCATATAAAGCATGCAAACATAAACCAGTTTGTTGAAAACTACTCTCTTTGTGGAAGCTGGCTGTAATTCTGAACAAGTTTTCAATTTTCGCACTGCTTCTAGGGTAAAACATTTTAAAGAGTTTAATTTTTACAGTGGCTTCAATGACACGAGATTATCTAACAAAGTAATGGTTAATCAATAGAGGGCTTAGTTGTCAGGTGAAACATATAACACACTAAAAGGGATTGATTGCAAGGCTCCTCCTTATTTACTGGTAGGTATATATTTAAAATGACACAAACTTGTTACCAAGCTGCATTCCCTTAGCCTTGCAAAAGCCGTTTGAGAACACTGTTAAGCAGCCCTATAGCAAAACAAGCTCTAATGAAAAAAAAAAAACCAAACAAAAAACCAAAACCCAAACCAAACAAACAACAAAACAAACCAAAAACTACCAAC